TATTAAAACAATTGTTCTTGCCTTTCTTTGGCCTTGAAGAACCAGGCGCAAACAAACTTGTGTGTTTGAACATAGGTTCTGGTCACGATCAGAAAACAGGAGTAAACGAGCTGACTTGTGATAGAAACATCGATAAAGGCGGAAAAAGGGCATGAACTTGTTTCTTCTCGCCATCTTAATGTCTGAACCCTTGCTACCAAGCTGCTCATCAAAGGAGAAAAGCGAAAAAAGTAAACATTAAAAGGAAAATGGCCACGATGAGGCTGAAACGAACGGGTCAAATTTGATTGAGATGTCTGATTTCCTTTCAACTGTGGCTGGTTTGCTGTGATAGGTCTCTGATTTGTCTCTTGATGTGCTAGCACATTCAATTTGCACAGTTTGACAATGGATGCTTTACAGGTTCCATGTGATTCTAGTACGAACGAACTAGTGGTGGTAAACAGTACAGCTAAACATTCATTTGTTCGACCAACAGCCCAACAGCTGCATGGTTGACGAAGACTTTGCAACATGCTCGACACAAAAGTGACTGGAAGGCACGACACACCGCCCTGGTCAAGCCAAAGAGCTTGTGGCCTTGTGAGGATCGACTTACCTTTGAAGACTGCAAAATAACTGACTGTGGAACTCGTGCACTTTGGTTGAAAAGCGTCGCTGTCCTTCGAGTGAGACGGTGTCTTTCTTGAAGAAACACCATAAGAGTTCTGTCATCCTAACCCGGCTGGAGAAGGCTGCGCAAGGCTGGAGATTTCTTGAGAGTTCTTGTCTCAACATGTGCTTCAGCTTTAGAAAACGGATGGGGCCCCAAACAGAAATCAGCGCAGACTTGTCCAGTCAAGGTGAGGGTAATGTACACTGGCTGTGGCAAACACTGCCTTGCTGCGGTGAGAGTCCTGCCCGCACAAGCGAGTCGCAGCCTCGCTTGCAAAGGCAGGAGTAAGCACCGCAGCATCTATTGCCTGCAGAGTTCGCATCAAAAGTTTCACTAAGACTTGCCATTGCCTTTGGTACACTTCTGCTGATTTGCAAACTGGTCACATATCTCTCAAACATAGCTTGTCGCTTTCAGGCTGGAGTCACACTGCTACAGTACCAACTCATGATGGCGCCCTTAATTGGCGCCATGATGGCGCATTCCCACAGGCCTCCGTTCATTAACTGTTGCGGTCATGGGTCCGCACGGAAAATGCTCATGGACGAGCATTGCTACGAGCATTGCTTGAGCTGCCCTCATTCATTCTGCGAACTCGCTCGGGGACCAGTGCCTTGCTGACATGCATGAAGAGAGAACAGCACGACCTTTTGAAAAGGTCGATGGCAAGCTTGAATCTCGGACATGAAATATTTTGTTTTTGTCTTTTGTTTTTAATGCAACAACACTTGACCTTGGCTGATCAATAAGTTTCAGGCAATACAAAGTAACACAAAAGTGCAATCTCAAACGTATTGGACATACTTTGAATAATTATGCCGTAACCAAACCATTTGCCGAAGCCACGGGATCAAGCGTCCTTCTTCAGCAGAACCCAGTCCTGTCCCTTCGATCAAGGCAGCTGGCTCAGCTGGCACAATACATCCTTTGTGAATCCTTCCTATGTATAATTCTATATAACAACAACGCAGGTCCCCCCAAAAAATCTACTTTCCGCATGTTTGAAAGAAAAGCGCTTTAAAGAGAGCAACCAACACATACCAAAACGTATATCAAACGAGACACTCACCACCAACCCTGTCAGCGACTGGCATCAGCATCCAACCCGGATACTTTTGAGGTCTGACACTGGTCGCCTCCAATGCTTGGCACTGTCCCAGCAAACGGCCATAACGCATGCCTCGCAGTGTGGCGGCGGCGTGGCGGAGCCTGGGGTTCACATCTGACAGACCAAACCCGTTCTCGTTGCCATGGATTGCCGTGTCCTGTCAAGGGCTTGGAGCAAGAAAGAGAGTAAAACAAGCTGGCATATCATTATCATATAGTATCCAGATTCATTCCCAAAAGGATCCAAAAGGTGTCAACGGCCGGATCGTCCAACACTCAAAAACCTTAACACCACCTCTCCCATCCTTTCGAAAGCAGTGTCACTCTCCGTCACTCTGAAACTGACGGTCACTGTGTCACTGTGTCGCGGTCAAGTTGCCCAAGCGGTGCAGAGAGGAGGCTAACAAGGAGACTTCACGGGCATGTAACGCCTGGTGCTGGCACGGTCGAGAAGACATGAAGGCCATGGTCGCAGCCGGCTAAAAACATGACCGGCCTCTTTTTAGCCCACATGTGGTTTCAAACGTACAGAACTTACTAAGTGAGATGGACATTTAGCTCCAAAAACTGAATCAATTAGTTGTTACTGTTAAACGGAACTCGTCTACACCATCCCGGGCCCCCAACGGTCGATCCAATTTGCTCCGTGTTCGCTCAGTCGATCCAGTGGACTCGCGAACAGCGGAGCCAAGGGGACCGTGTTCGCCTACGAACAGCGGTGGTTTTCTTCGCATGCGAGGATGGCCCGGATCGAAGGGGAATGGCCCGAATGGCCCGGGATGCCTTCGTCACAAAAGAAAAAAGAACCTATAACATCCCATCCCTGGCCCGGATGGCCCACTCAGCCGTCGACGGACGGTTTTCTCGTTCAATCCGACCGAACCTCGTCCTCTTGGGCTTGAAGTTCCTTGAAGGCCAACCTCGGCGCTGAGAATCTGGGTGCGAACTCCGATCTGCGGAGGGTCTGGAAAGGTTCTTGGACACATTTCCGGACCTTTTGATCCTTCGGACCCTTGAAGGTGTTCAGGTAGGTGAAAAAGGTATGCCCAGTCGGGGAGGAGTGTCCCATCTACTGCATCTACTCTCCAAATGTTCTGGCATTTTTGCAGAGTCCATTTGACATGATTCTGGCGCCATGCGTGTTGACAACGTAGAGTGGTTGAGGGGATCACGTCGTTTTGAGGTAAGACATGCAACATGAAGAGCTTCCCAAGGCCTATGGTGGGGCCACGGCTGACTTGGGCTCGGAGTCCCAGATGGTGGGAATGAGCTGGGTATCCTATTTCCAGAAACCCTCATGAATATGGATGATGATGATGATGATGATGATGATGATGATGATGATCCTGATCAAACAATGGACTATCTAGTGAAAAAGTAGAGCACGGAATTCACGACTGTGGAATCAGCATACTAATAATCGTTGGTAGCTCAAGACCCTGTTCTCCCCACACACCATTCAAAAGGACGTTCAAACGGACGTTCACTTATCATGGCTATCCAGTTCTGGTGCATTCAGTTTCAAAAAACCGACATTTTAGTCAGGAGACCTGCCTAAACGAGAGTCAACGGAGGGTGGATTCTCAGTGGATGCTTTTCAAGGTTTTGCACACTTTCCAAATTTCTGCTGGAGCCCCAACTCCTGCTGCCGCAGTTGGATTTGCTCTTGCAAGACCTCCACCTTGGCAGAATGTGGCATGGAAGGAAAGGAAACTGGGCTTCGGCTGCCTGCAGTGCAGGGCAATCTGATGTGTAGATAGTCTGATGTGCAAATTGCTATCACTATAAAAGTGGAAGGCAATCTCGGAGTTTTCTCCACTAGCAGGGCTAGGGCCCAAAGATCCGGCACAAACGGCCTCCACCTCTTCAAACCCCAATCCAGATTCTTCGGTTTTTGAACCTACACCATCCTTCACCCCATTCACGTGGGAGCCCAGATCCCCCCCCTGTTCCTCCCTCCCCCAAACAAAAAAACCCGCTCGACTCAGCCTCCCCACACTGGGCCCGGAGGCTCCACGAAGCACCTCGCCCACACCGAGCCTGGAGACCTCCCGGGGCCTCAGAGGACGCGTCTCTGAAGCTTCCGAAGTGAAGAAGTGAAGCTGAGCTTCTGAAGTTCACTTCACTTGGTGAAGACCAGTTGCCTGACATGAAAGGGTGAAGAGGGGGAAAGTGAACCCTTCACTTGGTGAGTCAACAGACTCGTCTGAAACGGTCGACTCGTCGACAGACTCGTCGACTCAACTCGCAGGACGAGAAAATGCACTCCGAGACCAAAAAACACCTCGGGCTGCAAACAAAAACGACCCAAAGGTGTTTGCCTATAATATCCTATAATTGCTGAATAGGCCTATTTGTCTTCTCAATTAGGAGGGTTCTGGATGGCAATAGCCACCTGGTCGACTCGTACGTTTCAGGATCTAAGTAAGCGGCCGAGAGGAGCTGGACAGCCTGGACGCCTGTGCGAAGCGAAAACAGCCACGTGCTCATGTTTTTGGTTGAGGATGCAAAACAAAAACAAAAACTACTAGCTTATAATTGCAGCTTACACCTCCCCATCTACATTCAGATTGGCACCATGCATCAGGGATCGAAAACAACAAAAATCAGCGAGGAATGTCGTGGCCATGAGTCGAACGCCAGCAATCGATCACTGGACATTGACCATGCTGCATGCTTTGGGGTGATGTCGTGGGTGGCCGACGGGACCGGTGACACCGAGCTCCTCGGCCTCACCGGTCCCAGCACTGTGGAGCTCGGATCGAGAACAAGGATCGAGAACAACCACTGTCAGCTTCAACGGATCGGTTTTTTAGGGTCTGGAGTGGTTGTAGGATTGTTGTAGGTACGTCCTGTTGGCTAAACCACTAAAGTCACCACAACACCATGGCAAAACCAGTCAGGGTTTTCAATGGAAAAGGACATGGACAGAAACGGATTACCCAGTTCACCCACTGGTTTTCACTTCAATCAACCTCCCACGCACTGCACTTGCCAAGTTCTCTTTTCCCGACATCCATCGTCATCACTCCCCAAAGAACCACTCTTCGGTGGAGAGTGGGGAGTTGCCATGAGGCCACCGGCGATGCATTAACAGGCAGGATCTGGGATACAGCAGGAGACTTGGAGTGGAGCGGTCTGAAACCCAGGCTCCCCTTTCTTTACGTGGGATTTTGTTTCATGGACTCATGACTTGGTGGTGGTTTGCAGTTGAGTTGTGACGCCGCAGGTGCGTGATGGAAAGAGGACAAAGCCCCAAAGCTGTAAGCCAAACCTGCACACTTCTACTTTGAGAAGTTCTGAACTATGAACACCTCCAGAGATGGAGAAACCCATTAACTTTGACAGTGTGCCATCAGAAAGGCCACCAAGGAGAATCACACACGGCTTGCGCGAGCCCGAGAGGAGCTCAAAACGCTGATGCTGCTGTGGGCGCTGCTGGATGCACCGGTGCATTCGCGGGCAATACTGCGAGCGAAGTCGACCAGCTCCGCATGGCCTGGTGCTTTGGAGGAAGGGGTGCGGTGCGTCCTTCCCAGAACAATGATGCAATGCTCAATCTTCGCGAAGACGCTTCTCTTTATGCCAACCATATCAAGCTTGCCAACATTTTTGAAATGCAAGTAGCGCTACCAGCCTAGAGTAGCATAATTAGCATCATTTGATTGCCTATAGATTTTTTGCTTCAGTTACATCCCTTGAGCTTGGCACTGTTGTTTACCATTACAAAGGCCAATTATCAAAAAAACACTCGGCAGCTGGTAGCATCTCAATTTGGCTCTAGATTCGAAGCATCCAGCTTGCCAATCGACGCAATTGATCTATTGCGACTCGACCCCACTTTTCCGGTGCCTTCGGCGATGGGATTCTCGAGCATCTCCCGTAGCTCCTTCGCGCTGGGCTCAGCACGTGGCACCGAGCGGATGCTGCGCACCGAGCCAGAGGGTGAGGGTGGCTGCGACATGGACTGCGCCGCTTCCATGATCCGCAAGTGCCAGGCCAAACCTCGTGGTGAGTGGTAAATGAGAATGGGATTCGGGGGGATGGATGGTAATTATAATTCATCGGGTGTACACAAACCATTCCCGCCGCCTGCTGCCGACAGTGCCACCTCATTCTGCGCCGGCTGCGGAGAACGCGGAGAACGCGCGTCCACACCGTCGCCGTGGACGTCATGCGATGACCGGGCGCTTGCGATGCCCTGCTGAAAGCGCGCTGTGGTCAAGGTGTCAAGCCCAGCCAGCCGCGGCTCCAAGGGTTGGGATGGAGCCTGGCGGAAGTTGAGGTGTTGGGGAATGGGGAATTGAAGTGTTTAAGCTTGTAGATGAATGGGAGGTTTGACGGAGTACCTCTTCTGTTCTGCACCTACAGATACCTACAGTATAAACTTGAAGGTTCTTCGAGTTGTTCCTCTCAAGATGATCAAAATCATCAGCCACAACTCCACAACTCAGCGGCCTTGGGGCGTGAAGCAGAGGCAGAGGTGCCTTGAGACGAGGCAGAGGCGCTCATCTTTTGGGCGGCCCAGAGGACTCGTAGTGCCAGCCATAAAAGCCCTGCATGTAGCAGGATGGACCAGGCGGAAGACATCAACAGCAAGACGCACGCCAAGTGGAAGAAGGCGAGCATGACGTCCTTCACTGTGAAGGACGTGAAGGACGTGAAGGGATAATGAATTACAATGAATTACATAATCATACAACATATATTATTAATAATATTATGTATTGTTGTGGTTGTTTTTTTATTCCCAGCAAATCGGTTCACCAAACAATCACAATTCAAGCTCTGGCCAGGAATCCTCATCCGGAACAGCTACATCCGAACATTGCAGTGCGCATTTCAGGTGACTAGCCCAGCGTGTGTCTGGCACTTGTCTCCAGTCTGTACTCACGCAAATCTCGTCCAATTCTTGCTGGCAATCCTGAGCCGGACTCCCCCTTGACCTAGCCAAGCACTTGCTTCAGGAGGTCAAATGTATGCAAGTGTCTCAGTTCCAATGAAGTCATTTGATCAAAAAAGAAAGCTCTCCCCTGCAGAGATGGCCCGTGTGTGTCTCAACCCACAGAAGGGTACGTGGAGACATTCCCAACAGGAAGGAAATCTCTAGGTCCAAAATGCTGACACATCTCTATCAATTCCAAGATGTGTTGAAGTTGACCCCAACCCCAAAAAAGGACTCCAGAGAGTTTGATACTATACTATATCCTATACTATCCTATAGTATAAAACGGGTTCTTCCTTTGGCCGAGGCTCCTTCAATGCACGCTGGAAGTGCAGCCCAGTCGCACTGACAAGTCCCGGCCACACATCCACGGCAGCCACCACGCAGGCAACACTCGCAGCCCCGTGCCAAAGCACTGAAAGGAGGAAGAGCCAAGCCCAAGCCCGTCGCTTCAATCCTTCGGTGTCAAGAAATTTCAACATCTCCCGACTTTTCGCATCAATAAGTCCAGTATCAAGCTTGAAGCTTTGCGCATGCTGGACCCTTCCTGAAAGAACCAAACTGGACCTTGACAAATCAAGCAAATGCATGAGACTTCCGTGCATTCTTAGGGGAATCTAGGCTTTTGCCAAGTTGACGACTCATCCTTGTGTTCCACAAGCAACAACAAAAGGCAAAGCTCTCCGTGCGGAGTGTCCAAGGTTCCGGCTCGGCCGACGCCCATGTGACCAGCCAGGTCGACCCCCCCAATGGTTCGGTTCGCTGTGGACGTAGACCCAGCCAGGTCCATTGGATGCGAAGTCCCCCCTTCAAATATACACTAATAGATGTCCTTCCTGATTGATATAGATAGATATAGATAGGTTCATTGGTTGGGGTCCTTGCATTGGTTGGGAAGTCACCACTTAGAAGCCCAAGATAGATAGATGATCAGATGTCCTTCCTCCGGCCCATGTTCTAGACACCACATTGCAGCTCCCCGCTCCGGCCGAGTGTCTGCAGCACACGTAGCAGCACTGTGCGCGTCCCGGCACCGGAGGCTGCTTCAGCAGTTGCAGCGTCAGTTGCGTGGAAGACCAAAGCGACGAGAGAGGAAGAATCGCCAGGAGCAGCAGCAGTGGAAGACTGAGGCGAGTTGACTCAAGCAGCAACTCCTAAGTGACCCGGATTGATCACAATGGCTTCTAAAATTACAATAAAGTAGCACTTGGAATCGGGCTCTTGACTGCTTTGCCTTCATGAAATATCATGAAATAACACTCCCCAGCCCATCACCTTTCAAAACTTCATAAATCTTCACCCGGCGTCCCACTTCAAAGCAGTTCCCTCGTTGGCCCACCACCAGGCGCTTCCCATGATGAGATAGCCGCAAAGCTCCACTGCGAACGTCAGCAATGCCAGCCGTCCCAGGGTACGAATTGAGCTCAGGAAGTTCCAGCGGCCGAAGAACGTCTCCCAAAGGCAAGAGCCTCACGTCTCCCAACGGGAACGTGCAATCGAAGCGATCCGGTGATCATGGAGTTTGCTGAGCGAAGCAGGACGAAGTGGGAAAAAAACCCATGATCAAAACACCCAATCAGCTGTATATTCATCCATACCCGTGGTCCATACTCCCTTCTCTCTGACTCTTTTGACCCCATTTGTCATGGCTGTGGGTCAAAGCCAGGATACCTTGGTTGACCTACTTTACCTTGACCTATTGGTGACGGTCCAACTTCGACCTGGGCTCCAGGTTTAGACCCATCCTCCGAAGCCGACTCTCGGCACGCGCCGAGGCCTCGAGGATCGCGCTCGCATCCCGTTTTACACTAAAACTACCAGGGCAAGGTTCTAAATGGTCTTGGACTTCCAGGGAAGTCTTCCAACAGAGGCACCTGTCTGAAATTGTTGTGGTTAAACAGAAGGCTAAGGGAGTGGAAAGGGTCTGAGGATGGGCCCCTTTTTGAGCTGATTCACTCACAGTATAGCCAAAAGTATCGTCATCCTGGAGTAGATACACTCCCGGAAACTAACATGGACCCTGTTTTTTGGCACCCTCAAAAGAGTGTTTTCCTCTACAAACCAGTAGTTTTCAGGCTCCGTGTTAGTCTTGGGCGCGGGGTAGAATATGGGAACATCAAGGAGTCCCACCATGAGACCGGTCTATCTACTCCGGGACTAGATGTACGCTTGGATTTGCGGAACCGGGGAATTAATACATCTTCCCCAGAAGGGAACGAACATCCACAGGGGAAAACGAACGGCCTGGTCCCTGGCAAGATCATGGATTAGATCGGGCCATGACTAGATTACGTGGAACAATAGTGCCATCTACTGTACTCTCATGTATAGATGGTGGCTTTGGCCACAAAGCCTCCCTTCTCAGTCGTTCTCAATCACCATACAGCGAACGTTCGAGCGCACTGCGTAGAAAGCCATCGTTTACGCAGCACACGTCACATGTGGCCATTAAGTATATAGGAACCCTCAGCGGAAAAGGCCAAACCTGCAAGAGTTTCTCTCTCGCTATCTATCTATCTATCTATCTATCTATCTAAATGTGCAACACATGAGCCTTGTCATTGTATTTGGTTCTGCAAATACACACCTTTAAACATTGTAACATATAAAAACTTAAAGCATCGTAGAACTTACGTACCCTCACTTTAATGCCAATCAATTCTGAACAAACTGATTGATGACCTCTCACATGAAACTTGTAGCCAAAAGAAACCACCAAGCAACACTTCCCAAGCATCTCCCAAAGCACGTCTCTTTTCAATCCGCCACCTCAAACCGGCTGGCCAACGATTCTTTTGCAGCAAAGAGTTGGGTTCATTGCCCATTCTCCAGCAGCTGGGCTACTTCATAGTGACCAGCGTGATCTGCCGCAACCAAAGCTGTTGCACCATTGTGCGCTACAATACCTATGTCAGCACCAGCTTCCAGCAAAGTTCGCACCACTTCCAAGCAACCCTTTGCAGCTGCCAAAATCAAAGCTGTTGACCCATTTTGTGCTATAGCATCCATGTCAGCGCCAGCTTCCAGCAAATTTCGCACCACTTCCAAGTGGCCGTGCTCGGCTGCTGCCATCAAAGCCGTTAGCCCACGCTGTGCCGCAATACCTGTGTCAGCGCCAGCTTCGAGCAAAGTTCGCACCACTTCCAAGCAACCATTTACAGCTGCCAAAATCAAAGCCGTTGACCCATTTTGTGCTGCAGCATCCATGTCAGCGCCAGCTTCCAGCAAAGTTCGCACCACTTCAAAGTGGCCTTTCTCAGCTGCCACAATCAAAGCTGTTGCCCCATTTCGAGCCGCAAGCTCGATGTCAACACCAGCTTCCACTAAGCTTCGCACCACTTTCAAGTGGCCACCCTTAGCTGCCCAAATCAAAGCTGTTGCACCTTTTTGTGTTGTAGCATCAATTTCAGCACCAGCTTCCACCAAAGTCTGCACCACTTCCGGGTGGCCATTCCCGGCTGCTGCCATCAAAGCAGTTTCCCCAAACTGTGCCGCAATACCTATGTCAGCACCAGCTTCCAGCAAAGTTCGAACCACTTCCAAGCAACCATTTGCAGCTGCCAAAATCAAAGCTGTTAACCCATTTGGTGCGTCAGCTGTTGACCCAATTCGTGCTGCAGCATCTATGTCAGCGCCAGCTTCCAACAAAGTTCGCACCACCTCCAAGTGGCCGTTCAGAGCTGCCAAATGCAAAGCAGCTACTCCGTGAGAATTCTGCACAGTAGGATCTTGAAGGGATTCAAGCATCTGCTCAACTTCAGTCAAGCGATTCTGTTCACATGCTAGACGAAACTCTTGGTTGGCGGCCGCGTCTGAAGACTGCACATCTAAAACCACGAGCTGCAGACTTTGAGGAGCCTGTGAGTTCAATTGATCATGGTCACTCAGCTCACCCAATTCAACATCTACAAGCCTCAACCGAAATTTGGACACCGCAATTCGAGCTGCAAGGAACTCTTTCAGAGCCCTCACAGGTTTCTCGCTCTGCAAGATTGGGCCGAGCTCCTCTTCCTCAAGTTCAGCCACCTCCGTGCCAGCAACGGTGAACACCTGCAGCATCGCCCTTGAACATGAGGTGGCACAGCTAGCGGCCTTCTGGAGCCAAACGGAACATAGCGAGCAATAGAGCACACGCAATAGCTTAATTACTATATAACTATTATATATATATATATTGAATTCTATGGACATAGTTTGACGGATACTTCGTGTGCTGTTACTGACTATACTCATACTCTTGCTAATAGTCCGCCACTTGTAGCAAGAGCAGTAGTACGACCACAAGGAGGACAATGACGTCTCCTACAGCCTACGTCCGACTCCGATTCCTACTCCTACTAAGTCCTACGACCTTCCTTTCACCCAGTCATCTGCTTACAACTCGACTCCCCCCACCAAACCCACGGTTTTGACTACTGCACCAAGCAGCGGCAGGTGGCGGCAGCGATCCAAGCCGCGGCGAGCAGGCTGACCATCACCGCCACAGCGATCCTCTCGAGATCCTCACGATCCGCTGCGCGAAGCAGAGGAAGGCGAGCGGAGGATGAGCGGAACATCCTAGGTGTTGGCAAATGCCCGTGGATCAAAAACGGGAAACCCGGGGTTGACCAGGGAAAATGATGAGAACAAACTACCAAGGAGGTCTAAAGTCTCAGGCTTTTGGGGCACCAGGTTTTGACCCACAGCCAAATGATGTGGTGAGTGCACTCACAGCAATGTGACGAAAAAAGAACAGCCGCCCACCAAAGACTAATAAAGTGACTATAGTCCATACTAGTCCTCTTTCCAAAGCCACCTGGAGGCCCCAACAAAAACACAGCTGGGATGAAGAAGCACCCCCACGGGTAGAACAAGAAGAAATGCTGGGACGACTACTTTGACTGCTTAGATAGGGCAGGTTGCTGTACGAGTTAGATTCATCTGGGCGGGCCTACATTCTCCCGGATCATGTTTGGAATGTGGAGCCCGCATCTTCATCCCAATCAACAACGGAACATGTCAACCAACAACTAACTCATTGAAGGGTTGCACCATACGCAGCACCTCTCAGGAATCACGATCGGGGCACAATTTCGCGCTGGCGCATACGCCAGCGCGCCAGCATACAATTGATGGCTTGGGTCGGGAAAGGGTTTGTCCCTATCTTCTACTACCCCAACAAACCCAGCCGTTTTTCTGCCACCTGGATGGCATCATGGGGGACCGTGACCCCGAGAAACCCTGACTGACTATATCAACGGTGATGCTGTGATTGGTTCATCTCACACTCCCTGATTCTGAAACACTTGTTGCAACGGAAAGCCCTGGCCGGATCGGCCATTCGCACACACTCCTTCGACGCTCGTGGATCGGCGAGTCAAACGGTCCTGGAGCACGTGGATCCGCTGAAGATTCCTGGCGAACTGGGATCCGCTTCCGACAACATTAGGTACATACCGCTTCATGACCCCTTAGTGAAAAAACAAAATACGTTATACAAGAACTTTATGATACAGTGCCTTTTGCTCTTGGCCACATGGTTTGGATCATCCTTTGGTCTCTGAAGTTCATCGGTGTCACATGATGTCACATGTGACAGCCACGCACACAAACACGTTCGCTGCTCCTGTCTTCCTCCGGTGTGGGAAGCGTCTCCAACCGCCACCCTGGCACTGTCAGCCGGTTAATGATGTAAGGCTCCTCGCGATCTGCGCGGCCAGTTGTTCAATCAACATGAAGGTATGCCATCTACACATCGATCAATGAATACATGCATCCTGGTGATACATCGATCTGCAGTGCGTGGAACATCTGGCAGTGTCCATGTACCTATAATACAATAATATCGATCAAGATCCCTGTTCCCTTTCCTTTCAGTTGTATTTTTAGAAGACACAGACTAAAGGTATGTGAAGTCCCTGTGCATTCCGTATTTTGGTGAAGTCCCTGTCCACCATACACTTTCTGACCGACTTGGCTACCGCAGTCGACGGCTCGGACACCCCGGCGGGAGAAGCTCCTGAAACCGCAGCGTCAAAGAAGGCAGCCAGTCCTTGCATGGCAGGCCATGGTGGTCAAATTATATTGAGAGATGTCTGTTAGACATGCAGCAACATGCAAGGCTAGGGAGGACAGGTACTGTATTGGGTAATTAGATGTTGGCAAAGTCGAAAAGCCAAGTAGAGTAGGCCAAGGGAAACCTGGCCATCAGCCATAGCTTTTCCCACATTCTGTCCATGAGTCCATGCTGGTCACGACAGAGAAAAAAGCATGTCCCGATGGGTGGAAAGCCTTCATCTGTTTGAGAAGGCTTTTGCGGGCCCCACCCCATCCGTTTTTGCGGAGGCCCATTTGCAGTGGGCCCGGCATCTCCCTCCCAATCAGCCCAGCCAGATCCACGGATCCACCCACTCCGCGCGACTCGGAGATCGATGGAAGTCACGCGTCGATGTACTCGACCCGCGCGATCTCGAATTCTCGAATTCTGTTCGGCTTTTCCACACACTGAGCAAAAAGAAACATGCAGCAAAACATTTCTTTTCAAACAAATTCTATGTGTGGTTTAATTGGATTGAATTGGGGGGAGGTCCAAGTCCTCTTCGTCTCGGGTTGTCCAGCTGTGTTCCGAACGAACCACTGGTGCGGTCATAAAATAGTGGGTTGGAGGCGGGGTGGGTCGGGCCATGCTGCACAGCATCCATCCGGAAGAAGTCCACATCTTCCTTGATGTTGAAGTGACTGGGCGATGCCCAAAGTTTCTGAAGACCTGGTCAAGGGCTGTGGAGAAGAAGAGACATCCTCTTCGGTTCCGAGCTCTTGGATTCGTAGATCTACAACATCCATACCTAACGGCTTGAAGCCGACCAAGTGATGGCCCCAACATTGGCCCCAGCAACTGTGCAGTCTGCGGTGGTTTATGTCCAAGAAATTTCCAAACATGTCGATTTGCAGAATTCCAGTCGCTCGCATTCGCCCAGTCGGTTTGCCGAGGCACCTTCCGCCAGCCAGGCAGCCTTGGATGGCAAAGCGGCGCCGGAATACCAAGTAGCAGCAGGCACCTCGCACATGCAGGGCATCTGTAATGCAGACTCTTGATTCATAGACCCCCCATATGAAGAGGCGTTTCAATCGAAATGGGGGGAATACCAGGACCCTCCAAGGGGATCCTCCTTACCTTACGCCTTGCCCTGTGAATTCTGCAACTTATTAAAAACAATAGGGCTATAAAGTGGACATACTAGCAATGTTATTTATAGAATGAGTTGCCGACCTTTATATGAAATGGCCTAACCAGCAGCTGGAAAAAAGTCAGGCAACAAACTGGAGGAGAGACCAAGCACAAGGGTTTCTATAAAATGACTTAACCAAACTCTGAAGAATCCCTTTTTCATCCTTTTTCCATGACTTGCGTCGGAGTTTGGTGAATCGTGTTGCTCCAGAGCTCTTGCTGGAAAAGTGCTTGCTCTAAACCAAACAGGCAGTGTTTGTGAATTGATTTAACCGCAGTCCACATGGATGCTTTTCTGTGCTCACACTCTTGATGTGCCTCCAAACCTGTGCTTTTTATAGAATGACCTGCCAACCTAGGCATCTTACTAAAATCCTCTATTCCCGAGTCCCACCCTTTATGAAGTGGGCCCCCCGGTAACCCATTCTGTAGAGGAACAGGATCCCCATTTCATGAAGGATAAGTCATGGAGGATCCAAGGGGTGTCTATTTATAGCCCCTTAGCTAAGGGGTGTCCATTGACCACCCCTTAAAGGCCCTGGTATAAATCAAGCGATTTACAATTGAATCTCACGCCTCATGAGGTCGAATTTCGAAACTTCGACCTCTCCCAGCAATGTAGTTTCTCTCTTCACAGAAAGGGTGGAAAGATCAAAACCAGATCTACACCAGGACCGACCCGGTTCTTCGGTGGCCATTCATCGCCCCCTATATTCAATAGCCCCCAAGGTCTCCAAGGAAGGTGCCCAAGGTCTCCAAGGTCCCCTCCAGGTGCCCATGAATTCACCACCCCTTTGTGGGGCCTGGAGCGGATTCGACGCTCCCAGGGCGTCGCGGAGGCTGCGGAGGTCGTCGCGGAAGGCCTCGGCCTCCGAGGAGCGCGCGGAGATCGCCTCCTGGAACGATCGAGCAAAGCCAAGGACGCCACTAGTAGCTAAGGGCATTACTATGCTATATGTATAATTATACATCTATATTATTATATACAGTATACAATTACTATATTATAGGGAGCAATCGAGGTGTCCTGTGGGAAAGTATATTTGCAATAACATAGGTCAGAGATGGTCAGAGTCATATATTGTTTGGGATGACCAAAGCGAATTGTCCGCTGTTAGTCACTGTCCTCCTTACTTGTGAACAAACATACGTACTGGAGACTCACATCATGAGATGCTCAGCATCGTAGATCCAGCCAATGGTTGCTTCATCGCGCGGATGTCCTACCGAATCCATGAAAAACAGCACCAGGACCCAGCCCTCGCGGCTCCAGGAAGAGGGTCAAATTCTTTGGCTCGCCAGGACTTTCACCTGACCGAGTGATGGGATGCTCGCCGTCTGATCACTATGATGGATCTAAAACCAACCACCCCACCAGGTTCAGGCTTCTTTCCCTAGATCCACTATAGGGATGGGATTTGATGTGGAAGAACATGCGTCCCATTTGGAACACGCTTGGACAGGAAGAACAAACGTGTCGAATCCGTAAACAATGATTGAAATCATAACGTATCAAAACCACATTAAACAACAACAACACTCACTATAGGTAATCTGGTGAATCTGTATATATATATATATTGGTTAATCTTGTTCGTGTTCTTATGATTTGTCTTGTTCTTCTTGTTGTGGTTGTTTTCAATTAACACTCACGAGAACACCCTCATCGCTACCGACTCATGCCCTACCCTCCGACCACCCCCAGAGCCGAACAACATCCCAAAGCCCAGAGCCTACTTCTTTGGTTTGGTTTATAAGGTGCAAACCATGTGACAAACCCTCAGATTCCTGCGAATTCTTTCCGTTCCGGACCCATTTTCCCACCGGAAAACCCCGGGAACAGCCGCTGCCGCTCCGCTGGAGCGCCTAAATGTGCCACGACCCCACTGAGCCGCAGTCGATCGCCGTAGCTGGACACCCGGCCGTTGCAGCTGGAGTCGGAGCAGGTCGGAGGTCGGATCCATCAGATCGGTCGGTCGAAGTGAGAAGCAAACCGAGCAGGAAGGGTGATGTGAAGAAACGAAGGACTTCATGGTGGGCTTCAGGGTGAACAGCATATAGGACATATAGGATATATATTTGGAAATAAGAATGGTGTGATATTATGTATATATGGTTGAACAAATATGACGGCTAGTGTATATGGAACCTACATGAATCTACCATTGTGATGCATTCTGAACCGATCATTTGCTTTGACCCATAAAGAAAATACTGGGACGAGGTTCGTCCGGTCACTCCTCTGCCTTTGTACATGAAAACGGACAAGTAACTGCAGATTGCTGTAGAAAGCAGCCTAGACCAACGGGCTGTCGTGAACAAGGGGAGATCTCCCGGAACCATTGCTTCGCCATGCCATTCGAGCTGCCAGGTGTCATACACTGTGGAAATTAGTGCAAATACATGTCATCATGCCCAACATGCCCCAGATCATCTGAAAATCAAAACTCGGGCGCCGAGATCATCGCAAACATCTTGGGCACAAGCAATCTCCGGTTCTTTTGCAAACCCATCAACGAAGGCCAACGTCCATCAACGCTAGTCTTGATTGGCCACAACGAATCCATCCGGCACATCAAAGGACAAAACTGCAGCTCTTCGAAGGATTTCTGTTGTTTACCAATAGCTTCAGGAATCAAACCTAAACATACCTAAACAAGAGTCGCATGACGTTTCGAGCGGCAACACGAGTGGATTTGGCGCCCGCCGACTGAATCCACCAGGCGACTGGAAGGACGCGTTCGGCACATCCAGCGGCAGATCGGCTCGGCAAAGGCTCGCCTTCGGCATTGAAAACGTGTGAAAGCAAAGGAGTGCTGAAGCAAAACGAGTGGGTTCTTCATGAACGGTCCCCAAGCAAGTGATCAAGTAGTTCGATCCTGATTAGTAAACGGGGGTGCCCCCCCCTTCAAACAAATAGAGGTCCCTCTATAATAAATTACCACCAAAACAAATCTGGATTCCTGTGAGGATTCCTTTTGTAATTGATTGTAGTATTCAGCTTCCTTTCTCAGGTGCTTTGTAATTGTTCTCAGTACTCCTTTTGCTCTGCAGCCTCAGATCTTCAGCTCAAGAGAAGCCCCAAGCTTTCAGCTTCTTCCTCAGCTTCCATGGCTTCCTAAGTAAAGGAAGATTCCATGAGCAATTTTTCCAGTGGAAAAAACTTTTCACAATTGAGGACCCAAAAACAAATTTGTTATTGCGGATCAGGTGCCTTCCTGGTCTACTACCTTGAAAATTTGTTTAGGAGCAATGTTTTATAAAGGGTTTAATTGGGGAATTGGTGGTTTTGGTCAGCTGTCAGTTTTGAAGAAACCTAGAGAAAGCTATATCAGCTAATGAATCATAATCATTGGCCTCAGAAGGAATTCAAACCCTTATTAATTGGGTTTCCAAATTGAAAATTTAGGGCCCACAAAAAATTAGCATTATAGAGGTACCAATTTACAAACAGGGGGGTCTGAATAATTTTGGAAAAAATTAGCATTATAGAGGGCCCATTTACTAATCAGCATCCAACATTATATACAGTAATACATATCTTCTTCAGAACAATTATTTTCTTGCTTTTAATCGGATATCTATTGCATTGAGGGATCACTACAGGGTCTAGCTCAAGGCCATTTCTATGGTACAAAACCAGTGTACTTGCCAATGGTGAAGCAACAAAACGCACCAGACCTCGGATTTTTGTTGGATTCTTCTCCTAGTTCGCCAAAGTGAGTGGATCATAAAGCCTATCAAAGCCTCCACTAATCTCAGGGTCCCCCAATTCGGTCTCTCAGGTCTCTGTCCGGCGCCGTGGGACAAACGTCCTGCGGACGTGAGGGTTCCACAGCTGCGTCACGACGTTGATGGGTTCCACGTCGTGACGCAGCTTTAACTGAATATCAACAATACTATTCGACACTCCAAACTGAAGGTTGACAATCGATGTGTTCGATCACTGCTAAGCGAACTTGCTTGCTGGATCTGCCAGGCTCGACTGCGGCGATATCATGGACGTGATGGGGTTTGATGGATATGGGGATGGGAACCTGGATTCCTGGTCCACCATGTAGCGAACGACCTTCCAGGTAGGTCAACAGCTATATTAGCAGCTATATACTGTACTTGGTGCCATGACTGCCATATGCTCGGCAATCGACTTGTTGGCCTGCAAGGAGTAGAGCAAGAGCTTCCAGATCTCCTTCAGCAGCAAGTCGCCCAGGTCCATCCGTTGGCAAGGCAGCAGCAAAGAGCCCGAACTGGTCCTGGTCCGGTCGTGAAATCGACATGTCCGGTCGTGTCGAACCAGGTTCACCCCTTTTGGAGTCGGACACAGCGTTTTGACCCCTTAGGAGTCTGGTGACCTTATAACTTCACCACCAGTAACTTGTTCGCCCGATCCCCACTCACGTCCTGCCAGCGCAGACCTCCGGTTGATAGACGGAGGCAGGGATCCAAGACCTGGGTCAGCTCACTCGGCTCGTTCCCGGGAACCGGTCGAAACTGGATCCTCAGAGGTTGGGGTTTGGGGGGTTACTTCCCTTTTTGGAGTGTCAAGAATCTGGGGAGGGTTTTTGAGAGGAGCTTGGCCTGAAAAAGGGTTGATGCTAGTGGCTACTAGTTGCTGGTACTGGTACTGGTACTTAAAAAGTTTATCCGCTGGTAATTACTGGTTGCTAGTTGTTCTTGGAAGTGATCTCAGTATCTCCAACACCTGCTCTTAAAAGGTGGCTGCTCCTGCCTTATCCATGCAGGTGAAACTCAGATTTATTGTCAGAGGCAATTGCACTGGCAAGACGAGCGGCGCCTTCTTCATAAATCCTCATGTAGTCGCCGTGGGAATTGCCTTGATATCTTCCCCATTTGATGGGCTCCCTCCACGAATTCCTATTTCAACCCATTGATGAGCAAGCCCTGCACCACCTGAGAAGCAATGATATGGCAAAAAACAAAGAGACCAGGTTACTATACATTCTCGTAGCTTCATAATAATAAGACACAATCCCTATTAATAGAAGATAATAGAAGGGTCCTCTTCCATCATCCCCATCAAACATGCTTGTTGGAGTGCCTGTGCAACTGTGCAGGGCGGCTCCGAAGTCTGCAGTCAGGCAGCATCTGGAGCTGGAAAAGCACGGCCCGCACCGTGTAGTTCACCCCAAGCCAAGTGCCTGATGGAGTGTCTCCAGTCGGTAGACTGGTCTATGTTCCGAACCTTCCACGGATCGGGATGCCTGGCAGGTCTCCCTGAGCTACACAACCTGGTGAAGATCTGGCTCTGAAAAGGTGGGCCAAGCTCAAGCACCTCTCTCCGTGCGTCTGAGCATTGAAGCCAGAGTTCATCCAGCATGAAGCCCAAGTTCAACCACCTTCCCATAGAACCCACCTGGATGGAAAGCTCCGAACAAAACAACCAAAAGACCTCCACCAGCAGGTCTGGGGTAACGAACGGAGGATAGGGGTGCCCCTGTCACAGCCACTTACTGGATGGGAACAAACACCACCTAACTAAACTACTCCCCCAACTCTATGAAACTCAGAGAGAACTCAGGTGCCCCCAGTTGCCAGCCACTTACATCCAGTAAAAAAAAAAAAACTATCCCAAACTCTTGGAACTCCTCATCTCCCCCCGTTCAACGCGGAAGGCTGGTCGATTCGAACAGCGGCGCCTCCCGGAGAGCCCGGATAGGTGGAGCCCAAGCAGGTGGGTAGGACGTCTGCCCAGCGACCACCGACACAGGCGAAAGTGCCACTGGGCTGCAAACGACCTGCAACAGATCGGATTTGCTGTCTAGGAATTGGGAAAAAGCAACAAACTGGAACATCAAAAGCACCCTTACTAAGCAAAACCAAGAAAGGGTGGCTTTGGGTCAAGGGCTGGTGGCTTTGGAAGAGGAGTTTGCATGGTCTTGGAAGAGAAAGAAACACGGCTCAAGCGGTGCAAAAGGGTGCTCATCCTTTAGTGTCCAGCTGCAATTCCAAGAGGCCTTTTGATTTGCGCGACTCTATCCGCATGATGATCCAGCAAACAACATCCAACAAGCCTCCAACAAGCCTCCAATTTGATTCATGGCCCTCACAGGGTCTTCCTAGGCCTTCCTTGAACGTATGGATATGCTTCACAAACGACGTACGAGCTCCTCTCTTTTTTGCCCCAGCAAATCATCCCGCTTGGAGGATTCTCCACCAAAGGTGTAAGCTTTCAAGCGGTTCCCGCTCTTGAGGTGGTTTTGATCACCTGAAGATATATTGCCGCAACTTGAAGACCAAACTCACAGGACTTTTTGGAACGGAACTCCTGGATTTTCCCGCTTCGATCTACCTGGATCAGATAATCGGATCCGTCTATACCTGGATCGGATGGATTCCCGTAAGGAAGTGCACCTTCGCCACAGTCCCACTTGGAGCACAAGGTGGCACTGGCTGTGCCGCGGCAGTCCTGGCTGTGCCGCGGCAGTCAAAACGTCTGGGGCTACGACCCGATTTCGGGGCCATGCCAGGAGAAAGCCCTCCGATGGCCGTGAGGCCATCGGCTGCCCATCGGCCATCGGCGGATGGCCATGGTTCGTTTCGATGTCGAAAACAAGGTGATTCAGTTCTTGGCCTACATGGATCCCTTTATACATGCAGTGTTAACATGTGTTAACCCCCTGCTTGACTGCAAAAAAGTCGTGTGTATTAAAATAGGGAGACCCCCGTGAAAACTGGACCCTCTGGAAGGTTTGGGAACTATACACACCCAATACAATACACCCTGGAAGATCAACATGGAACTTGAAAAACAACTGGTTTCCAGAGGAACATCGTCTTCCAGTCTGGTCCATTTCCAGGTTCCATGTGGGTCTCTTCCTGGGTGTATATACTCTCTTTGTCAGTCAATCGCCGTGTGTTGGATCTGTCGTCGTGATATGCGGATCCTCCGTGTGATTGGAGAAGTCTCCGCAATCCCAGCGATGGCAGCCCCAGTGCCTGGCCAATCAACTGAGTCAAAGGATCATTGGCATCTATCCTTCCCAAAGCCGCTGTAGATGGTTGATCCATTAAGAACATAAACTACCATGGAGAATGGTTCTAAATCTGGGAGTATCTGGGAGTTGTTACATGTTTTATCATGTTGTTATCTTGTATTACCCTCCCGGAAAGAACCACATGGACCCGGTTTTAGGCCCTACCGATCAGATGGTTTCCTCTACCGATCAATGGTGTTCAGGGTCCATGAGATCGTCTTCAAGGTGGTAGTTTGTGAGCAAATCCCCAAAAAACACCACGAGACCTGTCCAGGTTTGGGATTGGTTCATATTCTAACATCATTCTTAAGTACTCCAGGTACTCCAGGAGGTCCAAGCGGCTCGGAGACTCCGTCAGTGGATTTTTTCCTCTCCACCAAACCGGTTTGCCACAACGCTGGGCGACCGAATGTGTGGAACAGAGAGATGTTCACATACCCTCCCAAATGATGATATTAGAATAGATATTATATAGATATATAGATACTGTATATAGATATAGATATATAGATATATACATATAGATAGATAGATATAAGTAATATATATACGGATATATATATATATATATATGTTAAATCACACCCTCCCTCTGGTCGTGAACGACTCTCGCAACCAGTGTTGGTCTTCGGAAAATGGCTGGTGATTCCACGGGGTTGATCTCCAGGGTCCATGGGGTCGGATGCAGGAATTGACATGTTCGCTGGGAGCACCTAGGACGGAGCCGTCTCCGAACATATTGGGGTGTTCCAGTTGCTACCCAAAGGCTTCATGATGCTCCAGGTATAAAGACCCCCCCCAAACAAAAAGATAGAAAAGTCAAATCCCTTTTGACATGTATTGGAAACCGTGCCACTATCATTTGCCAGTCGCTTTGGTCAGATTGGCTCGGTGTGGTGCACGAACCATCACACGAACTTGGCCGATCAGGAGAGCGGCCGATTGCGCCCGTCCGTTGCCACAAAGGTCAACGTTGACGTGAAGTTGAGAGACCATGGACTGTGCACGCCCGCACTGCTTTGCTGTGCGCGTGCACTGGAGCGTCCGAGATAATCCTTGCCCAATGTTGGGGTGGTGAAATGCGAGTAAATGTAGGTCACTGAGACACCTGGTCCTGGCCATCAACTCATCCAACTCGGATGGTCTGTTCGGGGTCTCAAGGCATTGGAGAATGCTTCCCCATATTGGGACCATGGCTTGACCCCTCACATTAATGACATGTACTGCCAGGGATGTCAACATGCCGCTTGAAGCTTGGATGAACACCCGACTCACCCGACATCAGTTGTCAAACCCGCCACATGTACCGAACAGCAAGGTCATTCTATACAGCACTAGGCTTCTGACCTACTGTAAGTGACTAGTGATTGTCCCAAACATCCCTAAGTCCTACCTCATCCGGCCATCCCTGCACCGGTCACCAAGCAAGAACCACATGTTAAGAGCTGGTCAAGACCACCCCCGGCCGCAGCTGGCCCCGCTGGGTAGCACTCCTGCCTCCAGGGCCAAGGGGGTGCATCTTCACAGCTTGAAGCATGGGAGGAGCCGGTGTTTTGTGCCACTTCACGCGCCCAGCTCAAAGCCTTCAGAAGTCACCGGCAGAATTCGCGACCCACATGTAACAAAGCAAGTCAGTGGGGAAAAAGTCGTGATCCATTGAGGAATCTCGTGTGAGTTTGTGTGGGACTTTCAGTGGGACTGTCTTTTTTTTGGAACTCGACTGGGATGACTTTCTTTCTTTCTGCGCGCCTATGTAGGACCTCAAAAGACCAGGCTTCCCAGTGAAGCACTTTCACATCTGGTATCCACTTTAGAGCAACTTTATATACCAGCACCACCCATTTCGGGTGGTTATTTCATGGAACATACATCTTCAAGGGGGGGGTCTATAAACTACTCTTTGGGTGGTGCTGGTAAGTGGTCCATCTCATACCATTTCTATTCATCCCCCTGTGAGTTACCCGGGATAGGCTACACCAAGCATTTTGTAATTATAACTTGAAAGGTTGACCTCAAGGTGCCTACAGAATCACAAGGATGCAAACAGCACAAGTCACTTGGGGCCAGGGACGCACTCTACAAAATGGGCAGGTTGTAAAGGGGTATGGATAGAGATCTGGTCAGAAAATGATCTAAAAAGCCCGCGAAACGGTGCATGATACATTCTGTACAGATGCAAGCTTTTGCAAGTCAGCTAAAGTTCAAGCTGGCCAAAAAATATTCACAACCATTTTGTAGAGTGTGTCACTTTGTAGAGTGTGTCATTTCAACTCAGCTCCTTCTAAAACTGATTCTATCCAATTAATGTAATTGATTACGTGCTAGTCGATCCGTTTGTTCACCATCTTTCACTTAGGAGGCAAAGCAAAGGTGAACGCGTCTTTCACCCTTCTTTCCCATTCTTCCCCCATCTTCCCCCCTGCCGGATCACCCATGCATTCCGGTGCGTTCAACACCACCTTAAATAGGCATGTCCACACGTGTCTACAGAATCACAAGTCTGCAAATCAGCATTTTGTTATATTTTGTGGGTGCACTCAGATTTCCTCTCTACAAAATGCCAAACCTCAAAATACAGGACAAGCTTTCCTACCAAAAATGCCTTATTCCGGTGGTCAACACGCTCCATTTCGTCCAGACAACATGCAGGAGGATTTCTATTCTCCGTTATTCTCCTGATGGGCAAACCTTGGCGGGATATCATAGAATTTTGTTGGTCTTCCAACACGACTTTTGCTTGTGACGTGAAGGATGCTTCTTCTCCATAGATCCTTATCTGTTTGTTGTTGCCAGGGACCTGGTTGACGTCATGTGACGTCATCAACAAAATCCCTTGACTTTGCTGCAGTCAGCCACGTCCAAACTTCGAAAGGACTTGGGGGAGTCCTATCACCTGCAAGAGTCGGTAAACATTGATCAATATTTTAGAGGAAGAGCTTTATAAACTTAACATAAACTTTACATGCCTTATCATGCCTTTACTAACCATCATCATCCACTGGGCCCAGGGAATAGGATACACCCAAGAAAGGACAACGAATCCCGCCCACGCCGACCTTGCAACCGTGATGCCCACACGACTCGCATCGCCGTGAAGCGCATCGCCGACTCATCAGCTCGTCGCACGCTCCGCGCCGAGAAGGCGCTAGAGCAGTCCGCGCGGACGCAGCGTTCGGATGGGGATGGTCATGGCTCAGGGCCCATGGCCACACCTTTTCAAGCTGCAAGTATTTGTTTCATGTAGCTCTTCTTGGTGGGTCAACGCATCCCTTGGCATCTGGATGAATGTCGCATCCGGCATCTGGGAGTTCCGAAGAATTGGAGTTCTTGATACTTGAAAGTTGGACCACAAGCTTTTTGGATATGTCCTTTCGACCACAGGACCCCAGTAGTCGGTTACCATATCTACCATGACTGTCCATGTTCCAACTGCTGGCGAGAGACCATGCTTGACCAACGGACTTGATTCGTCTGGTCTCTCCACCGTTCGGTTCGCTGAATCGAGGTGTCTCCAAGTGGAGCAAAACAGCGACGCGGCGAACAACGCGACGCGACTGGAGTCCAGCTTCACTCGACAGCCGTGAACCGTAGAACATCTTAAAACCTTAGAACCAAAAAAAAAGGTAGAGGTTCGAGATGGTTCGAGTGTTGAAGAGTGGATTGATGTGATTGCTTAAAGAACTTGGGCTTTGAGCTCGGCTCCAATCACCCAGATCCCTTGGTCCAACCAGTTTGGATCTCATGCATGGGCGCCATGGATCAAAACTCGGAGACGGTTGACCGAGTCCATAGACAGAATAGACTCTATAGGGAGGTCAACCTACCAGGGTTGCTTCCGGGCGCTTCCAAACGGGTGCCCGACCCACACAAAACCCGCTGGCTGCCAGAAAATCCCCAGATCGGAAGAAGGAGCTCTGAAGACTGACGTCAATCCTGAAGACTGGATCGGAACAAGGAACCGTTTCTCATAGGTTTCGTCATCAAGGATCGCAGTTTTCTGTCACAGATGCTATGGAGGCAACGGTTCGGACCAGTGTCTACAAGGACCCGCCACTATGAACCCACAGGGACCCGCTTGGAGAAGACTCTTTTGGATCTTGATGAGAACACTTGGGAACAAAAAATGTAAGAATGACCTTCACACCAAAGACATCTGGTACATCGAGGGAGTTACAGTAAATCAGTGAACTCTTCACCAACCCCCAACTTTGCACTCCCTGGTACAGGCTTCAGGCTTGTTGCAGGCTACTAGTATTGAGCCACTGTAAGAAGAACCACAAAGGTCGGAAAGAAGGTGTGTTGTCAAAGAAATCAGCTGGCACCAGCCCTGGTCTATTCAACCTTCGGCCTGCCTTCTTGGCTGCCTGGCGAGCAGAGATGGCGGTTCAATGATCATCGGTTTCTCGGTAGCAATCCCAAAGTTGATGCACTCAGGCTCACTGACATGGAAGGGAAAAGGTTCCTGTTTGTATAGAAGCACTTCCATGTTAGTGAGTGGGAGGGTTGATCATTCACATTTGTTCCACAAATAACAACTATACAAATATAATATATAATCACTTGCAGGATTCGTCATCGATTCTGTTATCATCTGTTATCTAAATTTTGAGCATCAAATTTTAGTTACCCGTAATTTAAAGTGTGATCCTGTTGCTCCATGCGAACGGGCTGGGATGTTTGTGGAATCAGCATGAGGCACCGAAAAAGGGGATAGTGTGGGACACATCATGATCCTCTTTCGAGAAGCTGGGAGAACCTTCAGTTCAACATCTGGGAACACCCCAAGAAAGTCAAACACTTCTCCTGCCTAGGGAGCCCTGCAGCTCTCCACTCATAGTTTCTCACTAGATAACAAGCCAAACAACGAGAAAAGATCTTAATCAGTTAAACATCTCACTGCAGTGACACCTGGCAAGTCCCAGGTCACCAACACCAAAATATAGAAGCTGACTTAGCTTCATTCACATGTCGCCACTCCTGTCATCCGACATCATCCCACCCGTCGTTCGCCGCGTCCACGGCTGCCTTGGGCGCATCCTTCGTCGCCCGCGCGTCTCGCAGGCGTTGCACTTGGGCGCGGGCCAGGATGCCACCTCGGCGCTGGTGGAGGCTGGTGGCAGTTGTACACGGCTGTAGGTCATCACCAGGGGACCCGGGTTTCTTCCCACAGGCAATGAGCAGAATAGACGACCTACAGGAGATCAAGCTATATCGAGTTCCGGGCCACGGGTAGTAACAGAGGGAGAGCCTAGAGTTGGGGGACATTCCAATCATCCAAGGATGCCGTCTTTCCCAGCAGGACTACTTGGGGATGTACACTAACCCAGCTTTGGGGTCTAGAGGTCTAGTTAGTTTGATCCAATACTCCCATCATGTCCACCAAAGAATCACTTTCCACACAATTTGCCAGGGGTTCAAAGGAGTGCGCCAAAACCCACATACTGATACATTCTGGAGAAAGGGATTGGCCGGATTGGCCCTCTTTTGAGCTTGAGCTAGATCCCTACTTTCGGCCAAGTAAAAACCACCAGATGGACAGGGTCCGCTTGGCACCCTCGCTTTTGCAGATTCCTCACAGGTTTTCATCTGGTGAACGGCTGCAACTAGGAAACATCGACATTTGTGGGGCGTCCCTTTCTATCCAGCCACCCCCCCCCAACAAATCAGGAGCACTCCGGGCGCCCCCCCAATTTTTGCATCACACCCCTCTCTCATCCTGCCACCCGACCTCACCAGGTGCGTCTACTTTCTCTCTGGCCGAGCCAGAACCGCCCGACGGCCCCCGACTGCCGCGGTGGAACCGGAGGCTCCCGACGTTCCAAGGCCTGAAGCTTGATCACGGCTCGCTCGCGCTCCTGCGGCGCCACGGGTCCAGCGCGGCGCCACGGGTCCGGTTCGCCCCGTTCGCCCCGTTCGTTCGGTCGAGGCGGTGGTCCACGGCGGAGCTGGTCGCCCGACTGCTCTGGAGCTCTGTGCTATGCTCTGTGGCTTCATGTGGGCAAACCAAGTAATTAGCTGCATGGTTGGTCCATCTACAAGCTGCGAACTGAAAAAATCTGAACAGCTCACAACATCTCATGATTCTCTGGCTGGTGGGGCGTTAGGGTGGCTGACTTAAACTGCAAATCGTTTTGGCAGCTTGTTGTTTCACGTTTGCCTCACCTGATGAACCAACCACCCAACAACCTTTTCGGAGTCTTAAAGAATTGGGGAGCCTCCAAATACCTCCAGCAAGCGAACACAGCTGACTCTATGCCACCAAACCTATATAGGAAAACAGGCCACATCTCCATTTTCTCATACCAATAATTCGAACCAGAACCAACCAAAAGACATCAAAAGCCCACTTGCGCAGCCTGCTGCCCGACCGCCCGACGGGGACGTTGCCTCTCGCTTGGCCGGCGGCAACGGCTGTTGTAAACGTTGGTAGCTCACATCCTGACAGGGAACACAAGCTGGGCCGAGAGGTGTGCACAGAAAAAGAACAGAAACACAAGCTGGAAAGCTGGACAATGATAGTATAGAATATTATGATAATATATATATACACTGTATATACGTAGAACATTGTAGAACTGTAGAACTGTAAAACATGGTAGAACTGTTGGAAACAACTATGCATGTACCATTAAGGTACTTTTCATGGGCGATTGACCTCACCCTGAAACTGCAAAGGCAAGCCAGTCTACTCTGGTAGCAGGACCATCAAATGGGTGCCCAATGGAAACTAACAAGTAGTACAGTAGCACTAAGTAGTGTAGGGTGGTGGGGACCCCTTGGATGTTCCAGGTACACTCCCTGAAATCACAATGAAAGTAACCAGAGTTGATTTCAGCTCAAGTGGATAGAGTTCCCACGTGTTTTTTCCGTTTTCAGTGAATGATTTAGAACATGAAACCGACGAACTCCAATAGTATTTCGACCCCGCCGGCCTTCGCCGTTCTCACTGAAGGCACGACCACGGACCCGTCAGGGTGCCCTTGGTCGACCTCGGCCTCGTGCTCACTGCGGCGCGGCACGCGGAGCGCCGCGATCTTGGAGCGCGCCATAATGCCACCTGAAGCGCGCCATGCGCCAGGCACTGCGTCGTTTCACAAGAAGAGGAAGCGTAAAGACAAGTGCAGCTGAGGGACTTTCGTGTGTCATGGATCAGTTGGAGGCCCGCGCATATGAATCATCTGATTCTGATCTGTGTGGGGTGAAGACAAGAGTAGTGTGAGGATCTAGAGGAATTCTTGCTGGACATATGCTAAGCTGACCTCCTTTTTGCACCGAATGCACTTCCTTACGGCGAGTTCGATCGGTCTATGGTGAGTCACACCCCGGAACTGTTGGGGGCCAGACGGCGAGTCGATCCGTCATCGGGCGGAGCGTCGAGCCGTGTCTTCACAGAACTACAGGGTCTTGGCACCTGTGCGATTGTGTTGTGTGCGATTGTGTGTGTTGTGTGTTGTGTGGGACTTCGTCGACTGAGACTGCTCTTAAGAACGCCTGGCTGAAAAAAGTGTGTGTTGATCTTCTGGAGTGTTTCCATCTTGCAGTGTAGTGGTGACTGGCCCCACCCAATTGAGAAAGGACAAGGACACCACTAAGGACACCATGCCCAGACGCAAGAAACCGGTGCATTCCGAACGACCAGGTCCACAAATCCACTGAAAACCCCGGTTTCCACGACAGGCTTTTCGGGTATGCAAGCACCTTCCCTGAAGCGTCATGGAAGAAAAGGACAGCAGTACCCATCCCTATTTAGCAGTATGTTGGACAGTTGATAAACGAAAAAACAAATATACTTACTAAGTTACAAACACAAACCTGTATCCACCAGCGACATTCGTGACTTGGTTCGGGCTCCTTCCCCGGCTCCTTCCGCCCTTGACTTGCTCCGACCGGTCCGTGACGACTCGTCGCCCCGACTCGGCTGATTTGGGGTGCCCGGACGTTGTCTGGCCTGCAGCTTGGAGGCCGCAGCATCTTTGGCCTTAGGCCAAGATCAAAGTGTCTTAGAGATGAAGCATGTAGCGATGAAACATCAATGCCTTAGGCTCCTATTAAGGCCGTTTTTTCTAAAAGAAATCATTCTATCTGGCGATTCTTTTCAGAGATCAATGTGGACATATTATCATATTCGACTAACAAATCTGTCAGGAATGACAGAATGGATCGCTCGATGTTCTTTAGATTTGCTTGTTGCGGCGTCCGGTCACTTGGATTCCAATGGAGGAGTTCTTAGTTGCCA